AATAATGCAAAAGGTGAAGTCATTAATTCGTTAGCTGTACATAGTTTTTAGGAACGTACCATTGAAATGTCTGTCTCTTTAAGACCGACTGTACTGAGCCGTTCTACGAATGGGACGATCATGCGGTTGTCGAAACCATTGGTGTCATCTATCTGAAAGACCTTCAATAATTTTCCAAAAAACAAAATATGGAATTTTACGAGCTCCTTTAGAGCTTTTCTACTGTCCCTATTCTATTTCATTTTAGCAGCTATAGTAGTAGGCTATAGCAGTAAGCCGAGGTTAATTATTCCTGATCATCATATATCATTACGCATATTATGATTTCCTTTTCTTTACGCCATGTTCGTCGCTTTCGCCACGCCTGAGGCCCCCTCTCCACTCCTCCCCCCTCCCCCGCTTCAACAACGACCGCCTTTCGTGAGAAGCCGTACTTGAAATCATCCTTTATCTTTTTAAGGAAACTCAAAACAAGGAAGTTTTCAAATTTTTTTGAGATTCCTCGGGAAACTAATGTGAACTTTTTGAAAATTCCTAGATTTTTTGAAAAAAAGGTCCTTAATTTTGACTTTGCTCACGTCTTCCAAGAACTATCCGCTATCCTTCTCAGCAAATGAGACCCCTCCACTCTCACTCGGAGCAAAATTACCGCGACTGTCGCGGACCCCAAATTTTGCCCCTGGGGCACTTCTCACACGGAAAACCAATTTTCAAGTAATGCTCAAAAATAATTTACCTTTTTTTCTCGACCACGACACCTGCTAAAAAACCAATTTTTGCCTTTTCGCTGTTTAAAAAAGTTTTTTACACCACAAAATCGAAAACATACCAGGACACAGTTGGAATACGTGTCCTTCACTTTCTTCAAGCTGGAACTGTCACTACCAACGAATGGCGACGCTCCGTTCTCGCCTTCCTGGAGCCACGGGAAGATGAAGACAAATTCGGCTTCCTTCATTCCATATTTTGCGGTATAGCTTCACGAAACACTGCCGTTAGGTCTTTTCGTATATGAGAACAAAACATAACTACCTGAACAACCTGTAGTAAATTTAACAAATTCCTGTGGGATTGTTTCTAGAAACGAAATTTGTTTGACAACTTAGGGTGCACTGAGTAAGTTCTGAACCCCATGACTGCGCCGAATCCTTCCCAATAGCGAGCGCGGAGCGATCGGGAAAGAAGAACTCAACTCATACTGAAAGGTGGCCATTCACGATCTGGATAACTTTCTAAGGCGGGTGTTAGACTTTGCGATCGGAGCGAATCAGCCGGGATACGTAGCGAGGCGCCAGCGTTTGATACAGACACGCAGTGCGAGAAAGTGGCGAGGGTACCCACTTAGGCCGATGTTATATCCTTTGCGAAACGAGCGAAATTTCGCGTAACTTCCACTTCCGCTGTCGCGTCGCGTACAGCGAATGGCTCGACCGTGGACGCTAGCGAATTTTCCGATTTGCAAAGTCTGACATCGGCCTTATGCGCACGTTGACTCTCGCCACTCTCCCTTCTCTCATGACGTCGCGAGCCCCGGCAAGTGGCGAGAGTTCATGTGCAGTTGAGAGCGACTTAACCCACTTTCCCACACTGTCGAGTCGCGTTCGCATTTCGCATGCCCGCCTTAGGCTTGATTCACAAAACCAGCCACTGGCCTAATCTGTCCGTTTATGATGTACCCCTTTGCCTATCAAGATTCACTGTGATTAGTCCTGAATGCCACCTACTTATCTCATTGATACCGACCGACTACCGTATCAGGCTCATCTGCCAAGATCTTGAATCTGATCCGATTTTAAGGATAAAACACCAGTAAACAACATATTTATTTCGTATAGGCTCGAAGGGGATAAAGTCATTCTCGCATGGTTCACCCGATTTTGGTCAATTGTATTCCCCAGATACACAAAAAACATTGCTTGGCCTTTAACTAAGGAGTTTGTTTTGCTTTTTTTTTCATCGAACCGCGACGGTAGCTGCCAAATTTGGCAGGGGTTCGTGTTGATCACGATATTTTATTCGGATCTGTCGATGAAACAGAGCACTATTGTAAGTTAAGAATAAAACTTACTTCTTGAATTAGAACGTATGTCATCCAGCTGTCCTCCGTTCATCATATCTTGAACGGTAGCCGCCTCGTCGAATAGAATTTTCCTCGTTATGCCTATACCATATTTCTTGAGCACAGGTTCTATAGCACTCAACTTTTCGAAAGCCGATGCGCCCACGTTCGACACCAGCGTGACCTTAAGACTACGATTCAAGTTATAACTTTTTATATAACTTTACCAGTGATTTTATTAATTTTTAGCCGTGAATTCACCATAAGGTCTAGGCCTCCTGCCGTTTACCTCAACTTCCCTACCTGAAATTCTGTCGATCAGTAGGGGACATCCCCTTAACCCTTCAAGAAAGCCCATCAATAACAGGCCTAAGCGACCCTTTGGAGGTTTCTTTGTCGGACATTTGAACCTAGTGTCCCATAGAAACTCGAGCAGGTAAGGACCATATTGGGTTTCTTAAGACCAATTTAAAAGACCTAAAGGCAAGCCTCGGGATAAAATAGGTGTGGAAGAGCGTTCAGTAATGAAGCTAGAGGTGGGAGTGGTCTGGAAAAAAAAGAAAGCAAGAGAAACCACCGATTACGCCCCGTATGAGGACCTCCTCTATTTCAGCCGCATTCCACCTTGGATAGAGAAGGGGCGTGTTGGACGAGTTTCACGAACCTACTCTAGTTGCTCCAGTGCCAATGACATTGGAATCGCAATGGGACCGCTGCCTCAAATGCGCCCGCGCTTTTCAAGCAGCGCCACGTGGCAACCGACAGCGGAAGTGGGGCTCGTGGACAAGGGACCGTATCCTATTCCTTCCCTCAGGGAGACGCCTCCCCCGCCGCTGATTATATCCTATGCTTAGGGGAGACTGGGCTGCGTCGCAGAACCTGCCATTGAACGCGTAGTGTTGAACTACCCCCCCCCCCCATGGCTCATACGGAACACTGCATCCCCCAGCTATAGGACAGGATCAGCGATGGGGGACGCGTCCCCCTGGGGGAAGGATAGGATACAGCCCACGGTGTGGATTGCGGTGGAGCGAGCTTCTAGCGCCTTTGTCGCGCACTTTCAAGCCGCAAAAGGGGCGCGACATCAACGCTTGTTCGCCTTGTCTACTACTCTCGGGTATGGAAAAGGTAAGCGTGCCCCATCCCGGAACGTGCCTTCAAAGGCGATAAATTCAGGCGGATCAATCCGGCAGGGTGAATATTGCTTGAGGATTCCTCAACGGCACGTCGAGGATTTTCGCCTGATCCTTTACGTTCTCGCGCGCGGATATTCACTCTCGCCACCCGCGAGCCGTCTGTGCTCTCCGCGCGTACATTCACTATCGGCTCTACTCTCGCACAGCAGAGAGCGATGGTCGAGGAATTCCTCGACCGTTATTCACCCTGATTCGTCAGACTCTGCGATTGCATCGCGCGAT